GATCTGTATACATAATTGTTTGTTTACATCCTCTTTCCTGCCCAGTTTTTAAATGTAGGAACATTTCCTTCTTCAGTTTAGATATCTTCAGTTTTACTTCATTTTTCCCCATGTAAACGTTAGCTATCAGTACCTAAGGAAGTATTGACAGTGTTCGATAATGTAGAGGTTCAGATCAACCGTTCGAGACAAACAGACGATATTTTTATATTTTTCATTCCCCGCTCATAAAAGGTCCTTTTTGCATCATCCAGCTTATGTTTTGCATCATTCAGCAATTATTTAAACTTTTCTGCATCTGTATTTCTACAGTTCATTTTTAAAGACTCGAAATCTGTGAAATTCTGACTTAAGCATAATGACATATTGATTCAATCTAAGTATAAACGAGTTAGCATTATTGATTCAAGTCTCCGAATTTTCTCCCACGCTCTTTATCATGTACGTACTACACTGATGTACATAAATTAAGGATAATTCGGAGTCAGGCGGGAATCGAACTCTAAAATAAATATATCACCTGTAAAATCACTACACACATCTTCAAGAATCATATGCAAATTTCAGGAAGTACCCAGATCACACCGATGGTACGTCACAATGACGAGAGTGTAAGAGAGCGATATATAAGGAATACAGGCAAAGAAGTAAAATTGTTCGCAGGCGCTTTATAAGCATTTCAGTGCAATAACCGAATAGTTATGACACAAAGGACGCATTTGGATGATTTTTTACGTAGTAGAATTATCGGCCGTCTGGATTGTGGGCGTACCCAACTGGAAGTATCAGACGAACTTGGAATTGCCCAGAATGTCATCTCCAGGCATTGGCAACGATTCCAAGATGATGGTATTGTGAGTAGACGTTACAGCACAGGTCGCCCCAGAGATACAACGCCGAATGAGGACCGGTATTTGGCAGTTACTGCCAAAAGAAACAGGCGGAGCACAGCCTCAAACCTGTCTCGTCAGCTCTCTTCAGCCACTGATACGACAATTTCAAGGCAGACCGTGTACAGACGCTTAGGGCAGATTAGTCTATATGCTCGTAGACATGTCAGATGAGTTCCACTTACTGCAACTCACTTTCGCCTGCAGTTAACCTGGAGTAGAGAGCATGGATTGTGGACACCGCAACAGTGGGCTTGTGTGATGTTTTCCGACGAGTCCAGGTTTAGGTTTCAGTCTGATTCTCGTTGGACTTTCATATGGAGAGCCCCAGGTACCCGTTACCACCAAGAAAACATCATTGAACGACACCGTTACGGTGGTGCAGGAGTGCTCGTTTGGGGTGGAATTATTCTGGGTTCCAGAACTGACCTGCATGTTCAAATTGGAACCATGACAAGTCAAATCTATCGGGACGTTATTCTGAAAAAACATGTACGTTTCTTTCGGGGAGCCATGGGCGCACAATTTGTGTTTACGGGTGACAACGCCCGCCCTCACCGTGCAAACATCATAAGCGAATGCCTTCAATCCGAGGATATAACCCGTATGGACAGGCCAGCATTCTCACCGGACTTGAATCCAGTAGAACACGTGTGGGACATGCTCGGCCGACGAGTTGCAGCCTGTCAACCTCCTCCTACATGTCTACCGGAACTTCGGAGAGCATTGCTTTTTGAGTGGTGTAATATCCCCCAAGATCAGATCTATAATTTGATACTCAGCATGCCTAGGCGTTGCGCGGACTGTATTGCATCGTCCGGGAGACATACAATGTATTAACAGTCATACGAACCATGTATGTAAATAGGTTTTTTTTTTTTTGTAATTTGCTCCAGAGAGAAAAAATCGCTAATTTTTTTAATAATATCAAACATATAGCATTTTTTTTTGCTCTTTACCTTTTGTTTAATAAATAAGCTTTACAAATACACTGAAGTGATAAAAGACATGGGATACCTCCTAATATTTTCTCGGTCCTCCTTTTTCCCGGCGAAGTGCAGAACTCGACGTGACATGGACTCAACAAGTCGGTGGAAGTCCTCTGCAGGAATACTGAGCCATGCTGCCTCTATAGACGTCCATAATTGTGAAACTGTTGACTGTGCAGAGTTTTGGGCACGAACTGACCTCTCGATGATGTCCCACAAATTTTCCATGGGATTCATGCCGGGCGATATAGGTGGCCATATCATTCGCTGGAATTGTCCAGAATGTTCTTCTAACCAATCGCGAACAATTGTGGCCCGGTGACATGGCGCATTGTCATTCATAAAAATCCCATCGTTGTTTAAGTACGTGAAGTCCATGAATGGCTGTAAGTGATCTCCAAGTAGCTGAAAGTATCCATTTCCAGTCAACGATCGGTTCAGTTGCACCAAAGGACCGAGTCCATGCCATGTAAAAACAGCCCAGACCGTTATGGAACCACCACCAGCTTGAACAGTGCCTTGTTGACAACTTGGGTTCATGGCTTCGTGGGGTCTGCGCCACACTCGAACCCTACCATCAGCTCTTACCAACTGAAATCGTGACTCATCTGACCAAGCCATGGTTTTCCATTCGTTTAGGGACCAACCGATATGCTCACAAGCCCACGAGAGTCGCTGCAGGCGATGTCGTGCTGTCAGTAAAGGCACTCGAGTCGGTCTTCTGCTGGCATAGCCCAAGGAAGACAAATTTCGCCGCACTGTCCTATCGAACACGTCCCTCGTACGTCCCACATTGATTTCCGCGGTTATTTGACGCAGTGTTGCTTGTCTGTGAATATTGATAACTCTACGCAGACGTCGCTGGTCTCGGTCGTTAAGTGCAGGTGGTCGGCCACTGCGCTGTCCATGGCGGGATGTTATGCTTGAAATTAGATACTCTCGGCACACTCTTGACACTGTGGATCTCGGAATTTTGAATTCCCTAACGATATCCGAAATGGAATGACCCATGCGTCTAGCTCCAACTACCATTCCGCGTTCAAAGTCTGTTAATTCTCGTCGTGCGGCCATAATCACATCAAAGCCTCTTCACATGAATAACTTGAACACAAATGAAAGCCCTGCCTAAGCACTTCGCATTTATACATTTTCTACGCGATACTACTGCCATCTGTATATTTGCATATTGCTATACCATGACTTTTGTCACTTCAGTGCAAGTCAAATTTGTTTTGCTTCTAACTCTTCCTTTGCCTGATTTTGCATTATTCTTAATTTATGGACATGAGTGTATTTTAATCCTCCTCTTGGAATGTTACTTATTTCCAAGAACTCAGTGAATAGTCGTTACATAGTTGTTCAGTATTCTGGCATTCAAAGAACTCTATTTTAGATAGGATATTACAAAACATATATACTTTTATAAACATATTAGATATTACAAACTTTTAGGAATAATGAAATACAGAGGGTGTTTAAATAATTTTAGAACAACTTCGATAAAGAATTTTTTTAAAAAGAAAATATTTGGAATAAATATTTCTGGCCACAGATTGTTATTTTAAATGATAAATATAGATGCTACTTTTAAATTTATTTTTCTTTCAAAATGTCGCATGCAAACAAGGTGTGGATTGATGGCTTTGATTTGCGCTTTCCTTGTTCCTTGTTTCCAGAGGAATGTTCCTATTCCATAACATAAAAACACTGTGGAATGCAGGGTGTTAAAATTTCTAAGTGCAAAATACACAACATTATTAATCGGAAAGGGAAAATTATTTATATTATTATATTTATATTACGTTATTCATTACTTCTACATGGAAATAAGACACCAAACGAATACCTGAAAAAGGTACGTACTGTTTCTAATGTTTCAAAAGTATTGGTAACAAACGAAAATTCGCCGATGCAGAAAAATACTGATACCGATGCAAAGTATTTAAGCACATCTGAAGCAATAAAATAACAAATCAAGATTTACAAATTAAAAACGGTAAAAAAAAAAGGCTCACCAGCTTTTGCCGAGGCATATAGGTTAACGCAGAACAATTTATAGAAGCCTGTATGAAAACTGTTTAGCAGAAGATAAATGGAAATACATTGTGATCCTTGCCGAAGCATGGGTTTGCCTCAATAACTGCAACAATATAAAGTCTATTTATTATTGAAAAGGAAAAGAAAAAATAATTTACAAACCTGGTTCCATCAATGCAAAGAAAGTTTCAGTAAGGGGTTTATAATTATCACAAGATTCTCTTACAATAGAAAGTCAAAAAATTGGTGAGTGAAAAAATTGGTAAAATGCAGTATCAAGAAAAATTTCTACATTCGATACTTACAAATGAAATTCATCCCAATGACTTTCAAAGAGTGGAATTTCATCAAGACAAAGCAATAAGTTATACTTCGAAAACTGCCACTGCACACATTAAAAAAATGAGGACTGATATGGCTATTGAACATTTTCAAAGTATTCCCGCAAAATCCACTGCCGTTTCAAGTATGGACTATTGTGCCTTTGATCTCATATAAAGGAGCTTTTTCTAAGCGCAGACCTACCACGATTGACAGACTCTGTAAAGTAGTAGAAGAGGAATGGATATGAGTACCCCTGGTATTTTTATGAAAAGCCCTTCTATCTTCACGATGCAGATTTATAGTTCGGAAAAAAGGCTATAAGATAGAATATTTAAAAAAATACTTATATTATACTACACTTGTATTGAAGTATTGCATAGACAATTTTTCAATGTATTCGCATTTCTGCCCTGACGCCCTGACGTGTCACCTACGGAGTATTTTGCCTTCATAAGAGCTTTTTTAAGCGCTAACCCACCACGCTTGGTGGACTCTTAAAACGTAGTGGAAGTGGAATGGAAATCAGTTTCCTTAGAAATGTTATGAAAAGCTCTTGAATCATGAAAATCATTACGTGGATTTATAGGCCAGATAAAAGGCTATCAAATCGAACATTTAAAAAAGGAAATACATTTTTCACTTAAACATTAATTAAAGGGCCCCGAAATCGTTCTAAAAATGTGAAAACAGCTTATGCAATTCTTTTAATTTTTATGCCACAAAAGAAGCAGTGGGGAATTATTAAAACATTCTGATTTACCTGTGGTGGTATTATATTAATAACATTAAAACGATTCAAAAGTGGCTGAGAAATTTTACTCTCACTTCTTCTAGGTGGAGACATAGCAGCAATAAATGTAATATTCTGAAAAAAAAATCAGGTTTATAATCATCTTGTTCATGAAAATAAATCAACATCGTCTATGAACACAAAAAAGTCAAATAAACAATGTTTCGAACTGTTAGAAGTAACTTCTGTTATCCAAATATGTAATTTGTTCAATTACCTGGAGTACTTCAGAATGACTAATTTGATTTCATATGATTATATTTTTGAAGTTTATGAATTCAGTATAATGAGTGATACATTAAACAAAAGGAAAACTTTCAAATTTTGTCTCATATATTTTAAGTGCTGTATGTGATTTCCTGTAGTTCTCTGAGCGATGTCGAAATACTACACGTACTTGAATTTTTTATATGCAGAATTTTTATACGCTCACTGACTTTGTAACAATAATAATATCACTTTTGAGCCTATTTAAAATTAAGGAACAGCAATCAATAGTACAAAAGGTAGAACTACCTACAATTTAGGATCAGCTTAAAAGCCGCATTGTAATCGCTGTAATATTTGTTATTTCTTTTTTCACAGTTTTCTTTACAGCTAAATGAATCTGAATTCATAAAATTAAAAAACAATCACTCAAAAGTTAGAAAATTGGAATTACTTTGTAAAGTAAGCAACAATTTCAATATAAAATAATTAGAAACCTGTTAAAAAACAAAAAAGAAGGTAATAAATTTTAATACACAGTAGAAAGTCCGAAATCGGGAATCATCGGGACTTCAGCAATTCGGAATTTTAGATCACCAGTTTAAATCTAATAAGGTAGCATGACAATCTTGTGGCTTCATTTTTTGTTTACGTCAGTTAGAAAAATGCTGATTCATCAAACCACTCAAAGGCCAAAAGTGCTATCACGGCTAACATCAATACAAGGTATTTTCATTGGCCACGGTGCGATTACCTACAATTAGCAGTTGTTTGAAAGTGACAAGCAAACATTTTAGTTAAAATACAGAAAAATCCTACGTGTGGTACACCTGCTTTGTTTCTTGAGTATTATATTCGCCATTTCTTAAATTTTGTAATGGGGAAGGCATACTTTTCCCCCTTGGTGTTGATGATCCGCAGTTCAGGCTATTAGATCATTCTGGATATTAGACGTCCGGATTTCTGACTTTTTACTAGACTTTTGGACTGTCACTCATTAGAATTTGCAGCCATTCTCAGAACAATGAATAATCAGATTTTCGTAGGTATTTAAGATACACATCCTACTTTAAGGAATACTTCTCCTTTTTTATTTGCTGAGTCACAATAACTAAGCAAAACAGAAAATGTTCCACAACAGTACTAATGCACTCAATGAAAATAATCTTATGCTTGGATTCCTCAATTTTATGGGTTAACTGATTAAATTCTGTGATGATTTTACTGGCATTTATTTTAGAGAAAAGTTCTAAGCATTTTACAAACAACAGTTGATCTTTTATAAAGCACAAAATTATATTGAGTCATTTTATCAAAAACAAAACATATTCTGCGTCAGTTTTTTAGAACTAAAACATAATCTGCAATATTTTTAACTGGTAAAATATAACAGTATATCATTGCTCCCTGAAGAAAAAAGGCTACTCAGCTGGTGATTATAGTAGGTAGTAAAAGCAGTTGTCATGCTGTGTGAATACAGGTTCAAATCCTGGTCACAGCATAAATATTTATGACCCTTTGTTGTATACAGATCAGAGGCATGCAATATTCATTGCTCTGAAAATCCTCTAATGCCGCTGATAGCAGATGATATGAGATAAAAAGTCCTCAGATGCTATCTCCTTGAATCGTATTTGGGAATATTTGATCTTGATCCTCTGATTAGAGGGTATTTTGGGAACTGCTTATGAAGAACTGTACTTAAACATCAATTGTTTGGTAAATTTGTAAAATTAATCATTTGAATTTTGTTTTCATAAACTTTCAGTCATTAAGATATTATTTTGATCATCAAAGAAAATAAGAAAAAATATTTTTAATAATAAGATAGTAGACACCAAATGACAAAAAATCTCATGATTTAATACAGTCATGCTATTCAGTAGGTTAACTTTTCCAATATTGAATATAAAAGTTCCATTACCCGTAGTACTTAAAATTTCTTAACTGTTTTCATTTCTCAAAGAAACAAATTTTATTCTGTATTCATCATGAAATGTATTTACAATACTGTATACAACTAAATTTAATTTGACTTTATTTGGAAGTGGAAAGTTACGTAACCAAACATTTACATCTTATTATGTAGGGATATTTGTAATTAACCAGTTACCTTATTATTTCATCTGCACTTCTACTTTCATCAACTCCCATTAGAATACAATTTAGTTTATGCGTTTAAGTACGGAGTTCTTGAGTTTCAAGCACATATTTCAGCAGCTATCACAGACCATCATGCGATTAGCGCTCCCTACAACTATTAGATTACTTAACTTGGCTTTAACATTGTTAGCTTTAATTGCGTTTGAAATTTAGAGAGTACCGACCAAAGCTGGTAGGTGCATTTTACATTTTAATTTCATATTTTAATTTTATTTAAGCTTTTGTTTCTAAATTCCCACAAACTGCAGAGTTAACTTTCTTTTATTTCACAGCTGTATAACCACAAGACTAACAACTGGCTAAAATATTTCATTTTAAACATTCTTCCGAATTAGTGTTATATTACTTAGTCGTTGAAACAAGAAGATAAGTCATGTAACTTCCCTTTTAGTTTCAAGAAAGAAATATTCAGATTGGTTTGAATCCAGATGCTGGTGCTCAACATGCATAATTAAAGATACGTAGAGATTATGAGAGTTTTAGTTTAGCCCCTGCAAGATTGCACAGAAGAAAAATGCTCGCTAACCTGATGAAATCTCGTAGATCTCTCGTAGACGTTAAGCAGACTTCTTTGAAATCAGCTATCAGTTTTGACGTTAGAAGCTCAGTATTAGGTTCTGTCGGACTTAAAAATTGTTTTCGCCTTTACTCAATTGGGAAGCAATAGTAACATCCATTTCAAAAGGGCAGACCTTAAGATTGTTGAAAGGCACCATAAAAAGTCTGTTAAGAGAGCCTGACAACAAGATGCACAGTTTTGAGTTTTCAAAGCTGCACTAATTAAATTATTTCCTGCAGTGAAGGATAGGGCTCGGTTCTAGTCAGAACTATTTTGAAAATATCAGGTGGTAGAGCAAGAATTGATATAATTTGTATTGCAGAAAGTTGAAATTGAAAAGTTATTGTAAAGAAAGAAGCCAGAGAGTTAAAGCTTGCTACTGCAGATATAGAATTTTGTAATACTTCGAAATCCTAGTACATTAGAAGACTTGAGCTGGCTGTGAAGTACCAAGATCACAGATTAGCTGAAAATAGATGTGTGGGCGGTACATTCGATTAGCTACGGTTATAAATTTGCAAAGCCAATCTATCGGGAACAAACAAGCCAAATCTATTAAACAAGCCAAATCTATCGGGACGTCATTCTGGAACAACATGTACGTTTGTTTCGGGGCGCCATGGGCGCACAATTTGTGTTTATGGATGACAACACCCGTCCTCACAACGCAAACATCCTAAGCGAATGCCTTCAATCGGAGGATATCACCCGTATGGACTGGCCAGCATTCTCACCGGACTTGAATCCAGTAGAACACGTGTGGGGCATGCTTGGCCGAAGAGTTGCAGCCCGTCAACCTCCTCCTACATGTCTACCGGAACTTCGGAGAGCATTGCTTTTTGAGTGGTGTAATATCCCCCAAGACCAGATCGATAATTTGATACTCAGCATGCCTAGGCGTTGTACGGACTGTATTGCATCGTCTGGGAGACATACAATGTATTAACAAGCATACCAACCATGTAAATATTGGTGTTTTGTAAATAGGTGTTTTTGTAATTTGCTCCAGGGAGAAAAAATAGCTATTTTTTTATAATATCAAACATATAGCATCTTGTTTTGCTCTTTACCTTTTGTTTAATAAATAAGCTTTACAAATAAGTCAAATTTGTTTTGCTTCTAACTCTTCCTTTGCCTGATTTTGCATTATCCTTAATTTATGGACATGAGTGTAAAAGACTCTGTGGAAATCTGGAAATGGAGGAAATTCAAACCACACCATTACATTTACTGTCGGACGGCATGAAGGAGAGATTCAAACGAACAGTCTTGGACTGTCTCTCTCAATTTGTATCTGAGAGCCAGCAGGACTGGGATCAAATACTGCCATTATTTCCGCTTGCATACAGAAGTGCCGTTCATGAGAGTACTGGATTGTCTCTATCGCACCTGACTTTTGGCCATGAACTTCGTCTGCTGTCTGGTCTGCTCTTCGAATGACAGTCGGATACGCCTTCTTCGCATGAGCAGTATTTCACAAATCCGCAGGCATGTTTAGAGTACGTTCATCGATTTGCAAGGGGAAGGATCAACGCAGCCATTTAGAGGATGAAGACGAGATATGATTCCAAGACGACAAATAGGGAATTCAAGGAAAGAGATCAAGTTTGGCTCTACATCCCGAAGCATCGTCGCGGAATATCTCCCAAGCTACAGTAATCCTGGGAAGGGCCCCTAGCGTGTGATCATGAAACTAAACGACAGAGTGGTGTGCACTACTTTAGGTTTAGAAACCTAAAGTAACTCATAGTAGTGCACTGCGACAAACTTGCACCTTGTTACGGTTATGAGAATTAGTTATCCCTGGTCTTGGGGATTGCACTACCGGGACGTGCAGTGCTTAAGGAGGAGGACGATGTTGTATATACGAGTAAATATTTTAATCCTTTTCTAATGTATCTTTTATTTTCTGTATTTTTTGAGTATTCTGCATTGTTTTATTTATTTATTTAATATATTTATTGTTTATAGCAGCGTTTCTCAATCTGTGGCACGCGTACACCGACGGGTACGTGAAATAGTCTCAGAAGGTACGCGAAAAAAAAATCTGATGTGTGCACCACATGACTTCCTTGTACGGAATATTAAATTATACGCATTTTTCTTGCATTTCATTTAAACATATTGGATTTAATTCAATCTACTTCGTCGATAGCGCATAAACCATAACCGAATAAATGTACTCTTTAAAATTCACTATATTTGTTTACCATAGCGACACTCTGGCGCTAGGTTCACTTAACAGTATTATATTTCGTTCATATTATAACTCAGAATGCACAAAATTTATATCATTTGAAGCATTACCTAATTGTTGCCACATATTCTATTCAAATACTATTAATAAAGCTAGAACGATGTATACAAGAAATTAAGCAAACAAAACAAAAAAAAGAAAGCGTTTTTCACAGACGATTTAGTATTTCTCATTCAATTAATTCAGTTCTCACTTCGCGACAAGGCAAAAATACGTAAAAACTCAAAATATCTGTATTAAAAATTATGAAGTAAATCTTAAACACTTATTTAATCGAAAAAATTCCAGAAAGGATTAAGCATGATTTAATTCGCAATAATAAATGAAGGCGTTATCTTTGTTGTTGCAAAGCTAAGTTTCTCTAGATTGTCAATAAATCTACTATTCTGCTGTTTCAAATGTTAACAAATAAGTTCGCCATGTTATTTAAAACTTAAGGCTTAACCGCACTTAAACAGCTTTTAAATTGTTGATAATTGTACAAATATTGCTTCCAGATTTACGAAAGGCATAACAACCTTAACCGGAAGATAAAAACAACATAATTCACTCATTTTTAAAGCAAAAAATTAACAATTTACAAACATTTAAGAGTAAAGAAACTGAGATCACTGAGCCGGGTAACACAGTAGATATATATATATAGATATATATATATATATATATTATATATATATATATACGTTTGGTGCCCCGCCGACTGTAACCAAAATACGAGGTGCACATCTACATGTTATAACAATCCCATTTACAAAATTTCAATGTTCTGAGGCTACTCACTTTTGAGTTATGCGAGATACGTACGTTCGTACAGACGCCACGAAAAATTCTCTTCAGAATTCATTTTAAAGCAGTTTTATAATTTTTTTGGAGGAAAAGAGTCTTTTATTCTCTCCTTACGTGCAAATGTTATGCAAAAACATCGTTAAATTGCATTCGATAGAGGTCAAAATGGATATTTTCGTTGAAATATGCTGCCTGAAACTTTTCGCGATTACAATACTTCCTTTTTACTTCGTACAAGGAAGTAAAAAGATGTAAGGGTGAACATTGATAGACAGATTGATGATTGATAGATAGAGAAAAGTTGGAAAGCTGTTGAAAAAACTGGCATTTACAATACAAATTATATTTCATTATGAAAAATCAAAATAATTAAATTGAATCCAAAATAATTTTACTTTAAAAAGATATGAATGTTTTAAATTCAGTTAAATTTTGTTGCATTTTTTTTTGCATATATTTTACCTCTAGAATCTGTACCTGTTAAGAGGGATAGGACCAAAGGCAGACATTTGACAATAATAAATATATTTCAATAATCCTTACAGAAAGCGAGCAGGCATTTCAACACTGTTTTCTGTAATACGATTTTATTTCTGTGAAGAGTCTGGGATAACCCCGATGTTAGTCGGTGAGTTAATTGCAACCTGTCCATATCTTTTTCTCAATGTTGCCAACCGACCGTTGGATATAGCGCGCACATTGTACTGTAATTTTATATTATCAGTATGAAAACTTAGAATATTAACAAATTATAACATAATGCAGTCTGTTCTAAAGTATTCCCATTAAATTATAATTTGGTAAATTGTTCCCACTGTCATCTAACAATCAATAGTTGAATTTATATGCAATACATCTCAATAAGGTTGGCAACAGGTCTTTGTCTGTATCCCTACTTTTATCAACATAATGTCGTTTTTAATAAGTCTCTAACTTGCTTAAATCATGAATAGCTTGTTTAGCTTGAATAGCTTGTTATCTTCCGATCCGGATTTTAAATTGCTGAGTGCTGCAAACAGCCTCAAGTTTCCCATTAAAATGCTAATACTTTTTTTAATTTAATTAAAATGTGCGTAATTACCAATGTACTCCATTTTTGCATAATTAGTAAAAATAAAAATCTCTTTGTGTTATAGTGTTATTACTGTATTTATATATGTAAGTGTTAGTAATTATACATAATGGTGTGTGGCTAGATTACATGCTGAAATGATGATAAGTCGATGGGACCGCGAGTAAAAATGATCTATCTCTAGGGGCTGAGGGAAAAAAGGCTTCTTTATTCTATCTGTCATTCTTCATATGTTTGCTGAATTTGAGGAAGATATCTGATGATGACGATATAAAACCCTGTATTACATTCTTTTCAAATGTACAACCTTTTCTTTAAAATAAATGTTAGCCTAACGATAATATAATATTAAAAAGATTTTTTTCTCTCATCCACACATGATACAAATTAAAAATTATTAAATAAATCTAAAAGTACCTGTATTGAGTTGATCTTCCATTTATCTCGATTATACCAAATTTTATTGTCAATTTCCATGTGAAGAAGTTCAAGAGCTGACTGAGATCCATACTGATCCTGCTTAGCCATATTAAAATTATCTAAAAATACGATCAGTCTCCTACCTAATGGTGGAAAAAGTACACCTCCAGCTTTTTTTTCCAGTTTACTTTCTAGCATGCGCTGCAGACGCGCAGAAGTAGTCTAGAAATTAATAAATGCAGGAGTGTTATAAAAAAAATCAGCATAACTGGTATGAGATATAAATAAAAGGTAATTTAATGAAAACCTTACTGAATGAATCTCTTGGAATAACATTATGTGCTATAGATTTACACATTACCACATATTACATCTTAATACATTAATATACAGGGTGGTTATAATTAAAGTTCCACTTTGAAATGGTCATAAAAGAAAAACTACTGGATAATCTTATAAAGAAATTCCTGAGAATTTATTTTCAGGGGAGAAAAAATTCAAAAATTCACCACCGGGGAGAAAATGGCGCTGTATGCAATATTATTAAACGAAATAAGGCGTGAAGACATCGGTTTAAAATGTGTTTAACTGTTTCTGAAACCCGTTACAATGTATGTTCAATGTGGCGTCCACCATTTTCCGAAAGCAAACTAAATCGTATTAATGCATTCTGAACAGCAGCTCTTAGTATATCAGGACGAATGTTACGGATATGTCGCTGTATCGCATATTCCAATTAAGCCAAATTGTTTAGATCAGGGGTTCTCAACCGGTGGTACGCGTACCACTGGTGGTACGTAAAAGTAAAATAGGTGGTACACAAAAATGCAAATCATTTTTAAATATTAAATTCAAAAATTAAAACCTCAACATCCTGATTTTCTCCCTAACAATCGTAAATTCATGCAATCCGAGCTTTGTTCGAGAGTGGTGGTGGTAGTAGTACTTTGTAGAACTGGTACTAAAGGTTTACAATTTTTGCTTAGATGGTACGAGTTAGTCAAAACGTTGAGAACCATTGGTTTAGATTATTTGCGTAAATAATTTGCTTCTTCCTCCCGTAAGCCAATTACATGTCATTGCGGTTTTGCCTTACCCCACAAACAGCTTCGTTTTAGAAATGATTGAAAACGTTTTAAACCGAATCTTCAATTGCTTACATAGTATGAACTATATAAGCATGTATATGTATGAACTATGTAAGCACGTATTATGAAATATCTATGTATTATGAACTACTTGTATATAAGCATGCACTATGAACTATGTAAGCATACATTATGAACTATGTAACTATAAGCGTATATTATGAACTATGTAAGCATGTATGCAGAATCAATGTATGCCCTTATAATGCCCATAAGGTGTTGCCCCGGATAGTTGCGGAACCTGGACTAGACCCGAATAGTCTAGGCAAGCCGCACGGGTGTCCAGATTCTGCTCTCAACTGTCAACTGTCTTAGGGCCGAATTCAGGCTTAAAAAATCACAAAAGATCTGTAAGAAAACGATTTCTGGAATTTTTGCTCGTGATTTGCGATTTCACATTTTCTAATCGCTAATTTGTGGTTTTCACGGACGAAGTTCTCTGTTATACGGATCGCTTTAAATGGTAATTTTGTTTAGGTTAATGTTTCTTAAGGGTATACAACTTGTTAAACCCGTGTAGCAAAAGGTTAAGTTAGATTCTGACCCTTATTTCATTTAACAATATTGCATACAGCGCCATTTCCCCCGTGCTGGTGAGTTTTTAACTTTTTTTTTCGCGGCAAATGAATTCGCATTAGCTCCTATACACGTTTACCAAGTTTAATAGCATTTAATCCAGTAGTTTGCTTTTTATGACCATTTGAAAATGGAACTTTAATTATACCAACCCTGTAAATGAGATAAATGGAATTAATTCAACCCAGTGACCCGAATAAGTATTAAAGCAGGGTTAATAATATACGCAGGGTTATCCTTTACTTTAGTCTGCTTCTCACAAGTCTCCATCAGATTATAATTAACAGCATGTGTCATTCACATTTTGAGAGCATCTGGCAGCAAAGCCAGTCCTGCGCAACAGCAATAGCTTTTTAACTAAATGTTTTACTTCTTTAATAATGTTATTAGCCTCTCTTTTTTCTTCTATATCATCTTCATGACTTTTCAATAATAAGGTTGGTAGTTATTCTGAATGATATCAATCTGCATATCAGACTCTTCTCTCTTGTACTGCTGGTAACTTGAGATTTTGCAGCATTTCAGATTTCTTAAGCCAAGTACCCTATCTATGATGATATGTAAACTATATCTGAACAGATACCATTTGCTTTATAACAGACACTGGCATAATATCTTTCCGAAGAATATTACGAAAATTAACAGAACACCCATAAATTGTAAGAACAGTAGAACTGTATTTATGAACTTTCCTATTTACTCTAATTTATGCTTATTAATTATCACAACAGCTTGAAATTTACACAAGTAGTAATTTCTCTTTCTGCTATTACTACTTTGGCTATTTATGCACACTGAGTTGCATCATTTTCGCAGACCCGATGTTATACAATTAAGAAAAATACATACACGAAACATGAATAATGTTAGCAACAATTAAATTATTTTCTGTTATGACTTTATCAAGTTTCTTTTCTTACAGGAGTTAAGTTTTCCTCTGAGGAGGGTGTGTAACCTGGTCTTAGCAAATGGATTGTGAAGCAGGAATGGTTACTGACAGAATGGAGCATTTTAAATGCATTATTTAAAATGCTCTATTTTGTCAGTAACCATTCCTGCTTTACAATCCATTTGCTATTACCGCATCAAAGTTTCTTTGTCATTTCAAGTTATTTTAATGGCAGAATCAAGAGATTTTGGATTGCTTAGATTATTTTTCTTTTTCCCGTTTTCGTTTCTTTGCAAGTGGATATAAAATTATTTCATAAACAACTTTATTTTTAAAGCTTGTATGTTACAACATAGCTCATAATAACTACATTACACTGTTACTTGGTTATTGGAAGGTAGATCTACTTTGTACCTTTTCTTACTACTGATGGCACCACTGCAGTTTTTCAAGTGCTCTTTCATTCTACACGGTTCAGCGGCAAAAACGTTTTTTATTTGACATATTATATTGTGTCTATACACATTGCAAAAAAAAAAGTTAATGAAAATTTTATATATTCCATTAAAATTTTTCAGCACATAAAATCTTATTTGATCTTTCAGTATATAACCTTTTATCACCTCTAGAATTAGACACATATGCACTAAAAATGTTAACAAATTACACACAAACTCCTTTTCGAACAACATTTCTCTCTAAACGCGAAACTGCTTCTGAAAGATCATAAGCTATGACTAATAGTGAGCACTAGTTCATTAACTTTAAAAATACAGCATATCTCTTTTTTGCTCTTAGGAAAATAAACCAGTGATGATTAATATTAACATTTTGCTTATTTATTTTTAATAATAAAAATTAATTTTAGGCACATATTTTTGTAGAAATAAATAAATCATTAATACACTTTTCCTTTCAAAAATTACAATTTTATGCTGATCAAATAATATTCTTATTATAGATATATTATTCTTATCACCTAATTCACCGAATCTTAACACAATCAAGAACTTGTGGCATCTATGCCAAGACGAGTTGCAGCTGTTTTGCAAGTCAAATGTAGCGTAACTCGTTATTGAGTAGGTGGTCATAATGTTTTGGCTCTTCAGCGTATATACAACCTTGGGCTTCTTGAAACGGTTTCTTAATAAACACATTTCCCCTGCTATAATTTGTTCTAGCTCATTTGTGGGCCCATTAGGTTTATTTTTGAACATGAAACATAAAAAATCATCAATGCTCTCCCAGGACACGAACTCTGGGCTTCGAACTGCTTACTGGATATGCTTTTCAATTACACCACACAATTTTCGATAAAAAAAAAGGGGACACATATAAAGAAGGACTTATCAGAAATTCAGTGTGACTCAGCTCTAAACCGAAAACTCAGAGAAGTGGGTATGTCCAAAAACTGATATTTCAAACTCTTGACTGCACAGTTTCCAAATTTGCATCTTATACGATTTCTACGTTCAGTAGCAGGTATCAGCGTCAACAGCTTTTCTTACTTAAGAAGAGGATTAGGTCTCCAACAAGATCTAGGTTAAAAAGCACTCATCTGAGCTCTGTTCTGAAAGCAGCATGTTTCTAAACATCTGAAAGGTGGTTGCAGAAAAAGATAAACTATAGAAGTCCGTCGGTAACAAGGAAAAATATCGACAAGAAAACAACATAAGGCGAAAATATCGTCTTGCAAAATATCATGGGAGAAAACAGACCAAGGCTGTCGCAATTTTAAAACGTCGTCTTAAAAATTATCATGGTAAAAAATAAAGCACATAAAAACCATCGACATGACGACAACATCCTAGGCATGTATTTTCAGGCTTTAAAAGTTGTAGATGTACATTCATATAATGATTTGTGCGCGTAGCAATATGGAAAATTTTAACCTCTATAATTCATATTTTTGGATTAATTAAAAACATTTTTCGTGGAAAAAACAAGAAAGAAACTTAAACATTCAAACGCTAAAAATGAGTAGACAATTAATTCTACGTATAGTAGTTAATAGAGTTTTAAATTCATGTACTTAACTATTAAAGGTTCTAATTTAAATTAATGTCTTTTATAACGTCGTATTCGAAATTTTTCAAGAAAAATAAAGTCTAAAAAATTAGAAAAGGAAAGATGACTAATTCCATGCGGATTAATAAATAATTTTTTTGCTGCAAAAAATTTAAGAATTCAAAAACTAAAAATCAGTTAAAAAATTAATGTTACGTATAGCTATGCAGTTAATAGAATTTGAAATTGATTTTTTTTAATTGTTAAAAGTCATTATTTAATTAATCTCTTTTATAAAGCTGTACTGGCAGTTTTTCATCAAAAATATAGTCTAAACATATTGGAAAAAGAAAGATGGGTAACTGTATGAGATTATTTATATTAAAATTGTTTAATTAATTATAAAATTACGAAATTATTTTCTTCCAGCTTTATTCATTTGATAATCTTTTAGTAAAGAGAAAAAAAAAATTTTTTTACTTTATTCACTTTCTTAAACTGTCATCAGCATTTTGATATATAGTCTGCAGTTAATGGTTTAAAAGTTGATTCGTTAAGTTATGATGAACCACATCAGAGGGTAGCTACATAACATTTCAGTTGGGAAGTTCAATTCATTGAATTATGCCAAAGCACATTAGGCCTATCTGCTTAAGGGGAGAGATGTCTCTGTGGAGGACGTTCTCAGGAACTCGCTCCTATTCGCGCATACTAGGAAAACCACAAAAGACTCAAGCAGCCAGCTCGTTCGCTGGATCAAACTACCTGCATTCAGCGTCTTTACCCCTCGGTCACAAGAACTAATTTCAGGAAGAGAATGTTAAATTAAAATGCTTCGTTTTTACAACGTTCATTGAGAATACTCAAATCTGAAACTGTACCTAGAAAATTTAAACGCAGAATTTTTTAAAAATAATACATAATTACTGTGAACCCTCTGGACGATTATCTTCCTAAGATAAGCAGTGTTTCTGAGAACATAAATAAACGTAGATATTAAGCATTACTATTCGAAGATGACCGCATCCACGGAAGACTAAAAATAACATTTTAAATGGTCGGTTTAAAGAGCATTCTTTACATTTAATTTTACACTTAGACATAAGTAATTTAAAATATGAGTATTATTAGTAAATTGTAAATCATTTATTATCACTTATTAATCAATAATAAATTACTTATATTAATATATAACTTGTAATAAATTACTTAATTATTAATTTATTATTAGTAATACTTATAAGTAGTTTAAAGTACTAATAAATTTTTTCAAGTGAGCATTTCTTTCGCTTCATAATTATTTCGTTCCTGTTCTTATGACGGATGTATTTAAATTATTCTCAAAAGTCTGTTCTAAAAATAAAAACTGTTTGTAAATAAGTACAATGCATAATCTAACACATAAATTATGGATACATTTTGATTGCACACATTAACATGTATATTTCTTTTCCAGAAATAATTACAATTGTATATCATATATTTTTATGTTTACAAGTTAGGATAATTTGAATACGGTAAAGCAAATGTCGACTGTCAGCCTGAGAGAAAAGAAGTCCTCGTGAAGGTCATTCTTTGGATCGCATTCAAGTTACAAATGTGGAAATCCAATCATGGAAGACATTGAAAAATTTGTTAGCAATTTGATGCTAAGAAGACAGTGCAAAGAAAAATAACAGATTATTTTCCCAAAACTCAATAAATGTTTTGTTTTTCAAAAAACTTGAAAATTTTGTATTAATTTTCCTTAAGTTCTTGTGGATGTTTTTGTTTCATCGATTTTTATTAAATGCATGCATATATATATATGTAATAATAAAATTCCATAGTCAAGAATACACTTAAAATTCTAACTGTATGTTCTTTTCATTTTTAATGGCGAAGGTCTCTTATTTGAAAGTACGTGGAATTAAATCCACAGCCCCGTAGTCAAATTGTTTGTCCGCCTTTTCTAACGTACAGTTAAGTTAGAGGTATGTTTCTGGTATATTTAAAGCGAACTGGAATGGCTGACGAGGCTGACGTCATTTCTTGCCTTTCCAGAGGCAAGAAAAGAGCGGTAAATGGTAAATTCCAGAGGCAAGGACTCGCAAAGGAATATCGGGGTTCTTTTCTTTAATGTAACGATGCAGTAAAACTTAATACAAAAATTATTTAGTAATTCTTTTTTTTACTCCGGAAATTTTGTAACTGCTATTTCTCCTGACCAATAATAATGGATCCTGTTTTTTAAATTATCGTCTGATAATTTAAGTTACGACTACATCTATATTTCTTCACCAATCTATTTATTCCGGACAAAAGCTGGTACATCACACACATATATATATATATAATTAAAGAAAGGAGAAGAAACTAAAAAACCTTTGTGGTCAAGAACTTTTGCGCAATGAGCTGCAAAAATTAGAAAACGAGGTAAAAAGAGTATTCTTAGTGCTTGCGCTAAAACGTTGCTTTGATACTGTGGTTCTGTGAAAAAAATTTAACATAAGTAAAATAAAGTGCAATGGAAAGTGTAAACACTAAATAAACAATATTATCACTAGAATATTTATAAATAAAATTCATATCTAATTGTAAGTAATATGTTGATCAAAGTAAGGCAAACTTTAACAATAGGATAAAAGTGTGACAAAGACTTAAGGAAAAATAAAAACAAAAAAAGCGGTAAATGGTAAATTAGCCAATTCGAAATCTCATTACTGACTCTTCAGGGGAAATTATAATGATTTTCGAATCAGCTAATTCCATAATCGCGTTTCGTTCGAAACAGACATGAAAAACTAAACTCTTTTTGAATATTATGAAAGACTTAGTCAAAAAACTTAAGTCTCAATTCTCTGTTTCATTATAGATCATTCCGGATTATGGGTGTCCGAATTAGCGACTTTTGACTGTATATAAACAAATGTACTCTAATAAACTTAATTTTGTTGAATATATTTTTTTCCCCTCAATATTGTTTAACACGAAAAAATATTTCAATTTCCTCAGTTCGTGTTAATCGATTTTCACTGTATTTTTTTTAAAAAATAAATCATTAAATGTGAAAATATCATATATCCTTTTATGGTCTACACTGTTATACGCTGATGATCACTTTTGGCCCCTGAGTACTGAGTTTTAATGCTGTTGTAAGCTTTATAATGTTATTTTATTTTTGATGAAGATTGACTAACATAAAAAAATTAGTAAAAAAGTGCATAAGTTTATAAAATTTTATTATATGCATTTAGTATTTTAAGTTTTCAATTAAATAAAAGGATGTTTGTAACTAGCACAAATAGAAATTTTCAAATAAAAAATTTAACATTCATACCTGTGAAGATATATTAATAACATGGTGCATATAAGAATCTGAATTCAATCTTTTAAGCAAATTTTCAATTATAATAGTTTTTCCTGCACCAGTTTTACCAACAATTAGAACAGGTTTCATTTCTTTCATAAATAATGATAAAATATATTCATACTGAAGGGTCTTCTCAGTTGGTATCAACCAGTTCTCAGAATATACTCTGTTAAAATATAAGTAAATATAAAATAAATAAAATTAATTAAATTTTGAATTTAAAATACTTTGACTAATTGTATGCTATTAAGAATAAAATACTTAGACATAGATTAAACTGCAAAAATATTGTTATAGCTTCAGACAAATTCTTCATAAAGGAACAGCAAGGAGAAGCGAAATGCGGGAAAAAAACAGGTGAAGCATGATACTGTTTGAGTTTCTGCTATGAAGTCGCAGTGAAAGTTCTGACAGTGTGATGATGTGTGATTTAATTTTCGTTATTCAGTTTTATACTTGCTGCACATGCCAGTTAATATTCTCAAGAAATTTAATTAACAGAGGGAGCTAATACTGGACTTTCTCAGTTTCAGACAATGATAAAATACCGGAATGCAGATGTTTATGTCAAGTGTTTCAAAGACTACACGTTTTGCTTATAATTTTCCCAAATATATGTATAGTATTAGTAAACACATAGTAATAAATAAGGTTACATACAAGTGAAATAAGGAAGAAATAAGTCTTTGACCAGTGTAGTATCTTAATCCATTTCCTTTCGTTGTAATCTTAGGTTGAAGATGCAAATAAAATGGACGACCATGAGGATAAAAACCTTCTCATTTCTGCTGCTGTGTCTTACATTAGCCACGACTTACTTCAAAGAATAACACTGCGTCTACTGGACCATCCGTTAATATTGTTAAAGGTATTCGTGGTTCATTTGTTTACTATCGCAACTTCGCTAATTCGAGACGAGCAGATAAACAAAACAGAATTAAAGTTCTTACATTGATAAAGTGTAATCCAAGCTGCTGATGTAAGGAACACGATCATTATTAGTACACAAAATAACACATTTATTAGGCATAAGAAGTAAATAATATATAGAGATGATTACAAGCGTTGTTTACTGTCCATTGCATAACGCGAGAATGAGTCATACAAAGAGAGAGCGTTTCTCCTTCTTTTTGGATCAAGTCCAATTCCAGTTAGCGGGGATGAGGGAGAAATTAACGTCGGAGGGTGCAGCTTCATCGCTATCGTTATCAATTGCCCCACAATTTTTCACTCGATGAGCTGTTCCGTCCAGAGTAAGACCAATTCCTTTTAACAAATGGTTTTCCCCACGTGTAAATGTAACAGATACAGCCAGTTCCCTTAGAAAGTGCCTCCACGAAGCATTCCCCTCCCTAGGGGGCGAATAGCCTTTTCGTGTGGTTTGCCCAACTAAAAAACAACCTTTAAACTTAATTTTAACAAAATTGCAGGGGGCGCTCAATCCCGAACGAATTCTATTGTTGCTGGAAGAAGTCAAGATTTGTTTTAGGTATGGGGAGTTGAAAGTAGGGATGAGCTAAGGGAGACGGAAAAAGGGATTTGAGGGAACGGCTCCTGCTTAATTATATAAACCTATGGTAACCTAGTTAATAAAAAACAGCTTCCTTCTGCTTAGCAATTCTATGGTTTTATTTTCTTTCTTTATTCTGCAAATATCTTCTTCGCGACTTGTCTTGTAATCCTTTCCTTGCAATTTTTTTTTTCGTACGGATACAATCCTCCTTCTAGGTAGGAACTTACAGACATCCACGGTCTTATTCTATTCGTTCTCTCGTCATCTGTACAGTATAAGTATCCTCCTCCGTACCACCTTCGGGCTTCATCTGAGTACCGTTAGCATTGTATTTGCTCAGTTTTGCTTCTTTCCAAGTTAGTTTAAAAAGGTTTATGGTTATCGGGTCATTATGAAAAGGTAGCACCTGAGTAACGACAAATTTGAGTTTGAAATTTTCTTCTTTCTCTGGTGGACTTCGAACGTGTAAATTCTTCGTCTTCTCAAGATCCTATTTTGTTTTCATCTTTGTGTGCTCACTCGTTTACAGCACTTTCGTTTTCTTTTATTTCCATATTTCCTTATTCGACTTTCTTTTCATTTTAGAAGAATGAGTTGGCTATTTTTTTTTTTTTTTTTTTTTTTCTTGGTGGTTGTTTAGACTGATCCGGCATATCTTTTTGTCAGTTGTTTTCTCTGTTTGGCGGGATTCTTCCTTTTCTTTTTCTCCGGCATTTCCCGATTGGGTTTGTTTTTTTTTAACGTATTCCAAAAACGTTGTATTCTTCTGGGCATTGCTTCTCTAAAAAGGCGTAAAATAAAAGATTTTTCGTAGCTTTTTGGTTAGCCGCTTAGTAATAGGCGTGCAATGTACTGTCCTTTACTTTTTCATGATTCCTATCAGTTTCGTCTATTGATTTCGAGCATTTTATTGACGTTTCTTTGGAGTTTCGATTCTTTCCTTGTTTTTAACTAAACAGCTTTCTTGGCTGAAGTTACAGTTTCTTACTGGAAAGGATTCTTTTCCTTAATGGAAAAGCTTTTACAATTATATTCTTGGTGTTTCGTTTTTTCCATGTGTACGTTTGTTTGTCGTTGTGTAAACTGTGGTTTAGAGGTGGTTGTTTTCCTGTTTTGGATTCCAACTTTATTTTGGGGGTAATTGTCGATTTAAAACCCATAAAAATTTTTTTTTCAGGGTAACAATCGATGATCGGATAGGGATTTATTTTCATGCAATTATAGGGCAAGTTAGTAAACTGCTTCTGTATTTCGAATGGCGAGTACCCATTACGCATTTTTATTTGTTTTGAAGACAGGCTTGTCTTTTCCTTTTCGGATTATCAACGGTATTTATGGGAGAGGATTTTTTTCTGTTTGTATTTTTATTCTTGATAGCTTTCTATTATATATTTTAGTGAAGTGTTAAGTAACCTTCCTCAGTCTCAAAATCTAATGTTGAAAGGTATTCGTGGTCTTTTTGTTTACTATTGCAACCTTGCTAGTTTCGAGACGAGCAGATAAATAAACAGATTAAAAAGTTCTTACCTGATACAGTGTATCAAGGCTGCTGATGTAATGAACACGCTCATTATTAGCACACAAAAAAAAACAACATTTGTACTTTTGGTATAAGAAGTAAATAATATATAGCGATGATTACAAGCGTTATTTGCGGTCCATTGCATAACGCGAGAATGAGTCATACAAAGAGAGAATGTTTCTCCTTCTTTTTGGATTAAAGTCCAATTCCAGTTAGCGGGGGTGAGGGGGAAATTAACGTCGGAGGGTGCAGCTTCATCGCTTCGTTATCAATTGCTCCACAAATATATTATTGCTAAAGTTTATGAGCATGTATTTTACAAATGTATATCTGAGAATGTATCTTTACTTAAACAAAATAATCAGTCTCCTTATTTCAGATACATGCATTCCCAGTAAAGTTTGCTGATTGCCTTTTGGAAATTAAGACATACAATATCTAATACTAATTACCTTGTTAAAACAAGGACTGATCATTTATATTAATTACTCACAACACACTGATTACTTTTTGGATATTACGGTACTAATTTAAGTTTAAAATCTAACTCACAGAAGAAAATCTGTCTGATACTGCATATCTTATCCTACTAAAGGTGCATATGTGAAAGTTTAATAACGTGGATTAACTATGGAAATATTTATTTATTTATTTATTTTTGGAAGAAACTTAGTCAGGGTTCTCTCTTATTTGTGCAGTTTGTCTCCATCATTTACAAATTTAAACAGTAGTAACAAATTGATACTAAGGAAATCAAATTTGTATTCACTTTATATGATTCAACTCACCTTTAAGGAAAATAATATGATCAATAATTAAAAAGAATAAACTTTATGTGTTAAAAAATAAATATACAAACCCCAAATGTGGCTCCCATACATCAGGTAATAAATTGCTCCATTTAAACCATTCCATATTGTTATCAAGGCCATAATCAAAGACAGATCCAAAATTAGGAAGTGACACATCTAGTTGCTTAATGTATGCAATAAAATATTGTTCATCCTTTTCATCAACAGTTATTCCAAGAGAATAGATTATTGACATCCAAAAAATTCTTGATATCTTTTCTTTTTGATCAGTTTCATCTGGAAGCTGCAAAATTATATACAGGTACAGAGTAAAATACTCCTTTTAAAGAATTTGAAATGAAAGAAAATAATACAAATAAATGTTTTATTTGTATTATTATAATGAATGTTATAATAAATGTTTCAGATTTTACCTACTATAAGAGGTTAATATCTGATGAAAGGTATAATTTAATTTTATATCACATAAAAATAACCAATATCATATGACAAAAGAATTGGATTTGTGATAATTATGCCAAATAAATAACACCTAAATAATAATTCAATTATGCCAATGCCCAAAAAGTTAACTGAATGACTATTTAAAAGAATCTATTAGCCTACACCTATACAAAAATGAATTTAAAGCATTTAAAAACTTATATTCAAAATATAATTCAATTCACAAAGACCCTGACCTAAAAACAAACTTTAATCACCCCATAAGAGAAAAACAATGATTTTAGAAGACCAGAAACATTATTGAAGTATTTGTCAAAATGTTATTGAAACCGACATGTTGTATATTACTTTTGAATCAATTCCAATTAAATTGGACAACAAAATATTGTACTCATTAAAAAGGAAATATATAAGTTTCAACCTATCCCCAAACACGCAGTTATCGTGGGAGAAAAAAAAAAGCAAGAAGAAAACATCTGGATATAAAACGTCGTCGAAAATTCAGCGGTTCAAAAACATCGCTGTTTTAAAATATCGCCGTAAAAAATACCGTGGTAAAATATAAAGCACCGATAAGCAATTGCATGAAAATAACATCACAGACATGTGTTTTTCAGGCTTTAAATTCGCATAATAATTTGTAAGCACAAATAGGAATGAAAAACATTTTGTCTCTTTATTTCCTGCTAATTAAAATTGGTATTTAATTTTGGTAACGGATTAGCTTTTAATTTAAAGTGGTGCTAATTTGTTCTTTGAATTTCTTGATTATTTTCAGGATTTTTTTAAGAGTTAAGGATTTCATTGATATGAGTTTTAACTGTTTTCACTTAAATTGGTCAATGATAATGATTAATCTTTTAAGGAGACATAACTATCCTTTATGGCCTGACGGAAGGATATGGGCCTCGAGTTTCCAACTATTTCATTCCATTATAATTGCCTCTCGTTTCTTTTCAGATGTGAATTATGAGTTTTAGCTTCTTCTACGAAGGTACTTTAGTTAATAAGCGTCCCCCCTCGGAGGAAGGTTATTCCCCTCATCCCAAACAGCTCAGCATGTGTAATTTATTTTGAAATTGGAAAACTGGTAAAATTCTGAGGTTTGTTTATTATTGCAATGGTTATTATATGCATTAAAGGAAATATAACCAAGTTTTCAGTAATACTTATTATTAATTGGCAAGTGATTGGTATAAGTCTTTTTTCTGTTGACTTCCAATGACATACGGACGTCTAGTATAACAAACAGAAAATAGAAATTTGTGTTTTTTGTAGTGTAAATATGCTCTATGTAAACTTAAACCTTGTTATTTTATATACTCGGTGTTACCGGACAATGTAGTATGCCAGTTGACATAATTAATGCTTGTATTTTTTCCAGAAACCTTGAAATATTTATGCTGTGTTAGTTTAAATGCTTATAAGAATGTGCGTTATAAAGTTTTCGGTATTGCATGAAAAAGTTATCAATTCTTTTAACAGAAAAATCGTGAGGTGGCCACCTCCCAAATAACTTGAAAGTATGTTAATTTACTTTATTACGGATACCAGTGTACACCAGCTGCCACTTGTAAACTTCTTATGTTAACTGTGACTGCTAACCAATTTAAATATACTAAATAAATAATATTTTAACTCAAAAGCCTGTATAATTTGTCGTTAATTTTTAAACTTATATTTTTACTGGTGTGGTGTGGTGTATTTAATTATAGCAAAGCACACTAGGGAGGACTTTCTAAGGGAAAATGGCTCGTATACACGTTACACATGGGGAAAACCACGAAAACACCCATGCAGCCAGCCCGTTCGCGGGATTCGAACCTCGGACCGAACTACCAGTGTTCAGCGACTTTACCTCTCGGCCGCTGGAGGGCTTATATTTTTACTGGACTAATGAAAGATTTATTTCATATTTCACAACGCAGTGGTTTTACAGTTCAGTAACCTTACATAGATGATTATTACTCACTGTTTTACTTGTTTACTTTAATTGAATGTCCTTTATGTTTTTTGTATACACTAAATTTCTAAATATTATATTACGATGAATGTACTATGTAACTACATACACTAAAAACATATAGCAGAAATAATTAATATTTTTTTGCTAAAAAATCAAGTAGTAAACTTAAGCATTTAAAAGCTGAAAGTGAGTAAAAAATTAATACTACATGTAGATGTTAATAAAATTTTAATTTTATGTACTTAACTATTAGAAGCCATTATTTAATTAATCTGTTTTATAAAACTGTATTATTAATCATCTTTCCTTTTCTAATTTTTTAGCTTATATATATCATGAAAAACTGCTAATGCAACTTTATAAAAGAGGTTAATTATGTAAAGATTTTTTAATAAATATGTACATAAATTTTAAACTATATTAACTGCTATACATAGCATTAATTTTTTATTCATTTTCAGCTTTTAAATGCTTAAATTTCCTTTTTGATTTTTTTCACACACACACCAAAAAAAGTGTTGATTAATCTAAAAGCATATGCCTGCTTGATTTCTTACCACGATATTTTTAAGTGAACCGCTTTATTTTCAGCTACGATGTTTCAGTATATCAAAATGTTTGCGTTTTCGCCTGCAACCCACAAAAACAATCTCGATAGATAATCTGCAGCTGCCTGTTGCCATAGAAGCGAGCCCTAAGCCTTTTTAATTTTACTTCTTCGGTTTGTTAAAAAGAATAATGAGGAGATAGTGGTTCACAGCATTACAGAATTTTCAGAAAATAACAGAGTTTGATATTTTGAGAAAATCTTATAGCCTAAAAAACTCATTACAAAGCTATAATTGAGAATCAGAACCTACAATAGAAGCGCAGTAAATATTGCTTTCAATCTCTTCATTCCCAGCATATTGTTGAGTATTTTTCTGACACTAGTTGTTACGTTATTTTCTTCTTTCACGTTCGTACGGGGTTCGTGTGG